TTTCATCTGATCTTATCTGGATCCAAATCCAACTTTCTGTTCGATGGCGCCCAGACTCGCTGTGTGATGGCCAACATTCAATACGTCTTCTCCTCATTGTGCTAAAGAGTTAGATCAGGTTAAATTTAGGAGCAAAGGGTTTGAAGACACTGTTTGCCTTTCCTCAAGCTTTGCCTGAATTAACGACAGATCACAGACAAGGATTTCTAGTGCCCCGTTCCATCAGGATGTAAGCTTCCATATTTCAGTGTTTCACGTTGAATGTCTAAAAGCCGTTCATTTGCAGGCTATCTGTTGGATCTGATTAAATGGGTGTCCGGGGTGGTGGTGTCCCAGGCAACCCATGCCGCAGGGGCAACTTAAGTCTCCATGGTTTGTGGGAGCTCAGTGCCACCTGGATCCAGTCCGAAGTGTTGATTGTGTCCCACTAGGAATGGGTTCCGTTCCGTTCCTGCAACTCCACCAGAGCAGGTGGGTTGGGTTTTGGTGTTTTCCCTAGCTATAATGCAATTCCATTGTTTGCGTGCTGTACTCACTGTTCAGAGTCTGAGAGGTATACAGAAAGCATTAAGGAGATAACATCCATCTGGCCCCAGTGTTTGCATAATGTATTTTCTTTTCCTTGCTAAGGAACTAGTAAATCTGGACAGCGTCTCCTGAATATAGATAGCATATGGGGAGGGAAGAATCAGTTCAATGGGTGCCAAACCTCCTGCCAAACTCTGTTTATATGAAGAGACCTTCACAGAGAATTAGGTCCCATGATGGAGACGTTGAAAAACACCAGACCAAAGATGGCAGCATTTTGATGGGAACCTGGAGTGCTTTGTTGATTAGAGTAGGCTGGTCAAGATCTTGACTAAAGGTAGATGAAACTGTCTGGCTCTGGGCATCCGGCATATCAGAACAAGGCTCCTCCAGAGAAGTTGCTGGTACCTAGACAAGTATGAGAGAACACTGGAAAAGTCCGTGAAAGAAATTAGGAATCCATGGTGCTGAAGTTGTACAAAGTTTATATCCCTTTATGTGTACCCTTTCCATTTCAGATGCAGTTTTGCCTTCTGCTTCTATTTCTAAAGTTTATATCCCTTTCTATTTCAGATGCAGTTTTGCCTTCTGCTTCTATTTCATTGTGATGTATTTGTTTTATTCTGGTTTCATTGCTAGATTTATCTCAGTTTAGTACATTGTTTTGCATAATATCATCTAGCATCCAATGTGCAGAGGAGAAATATATATATATATGTGCCAGATAAACAGGAATAGATCTAAGAGATGTGGCAGTGGAGAGAGAGAGAGAGAGAGAGAGAGAGAAACCAATATTTTCCAGCTAACCTTTTATACATTGCATGTCTCTCCCTGTGAACCAAGACTCAAGTGGAGATAATGTTTATGAATGTAAAAAGCTTCCTACCAGAAAGTCACATTAACATCTGATACGGCAACCTGCCATTGTACCTGATCCGGTGGAAGAGGGGATCTTTGTCCCAGCTCATGCACCCACTGGTAACTCCCACGTTCAGTTTTGACCTCCCTAATTAACTCAGGCAGACCAAGCCAATTTGCAAGGTATGACTTATACAGTATCATTTATCCTCCTGGGATTCCAGTTTTCAAAGGATCTGGAATTTTAGACCTGACTTCTTCTGCCATGCTTCTGGAAATGCACAACCACCCTAGGGTGGCCCACAGCAGGTGTGTGTCCTTCTGTGACCTGGGTCAGCTTAACCAATCTGCTGGTCTTACAAAAATTCAAGAAACCAGAGACCATTAGCCTCCCCGCTCTACCTCCGGGCACTAGGGTAGGCTTTGAGGTCTACATCAAGAGCGAATAACGTCTAGCAGGGGGCATGGCTAGAGGCCACCAAGGGCCACACTCTCCTGCTGGCAAGTCCCATCCAACCACTGGGTTTTCCACAGGTCTGTTGCCATGTTTGCCACTGGTACAGCCACTGGGAAACATGGTGCACAGGGAATGGTCTGCTGGGAAGACAAATCTCTGAGGATACATGGCACATGCTCTCCACATCCTATGGGAATGTGGTTATGATAGCAGCAGAATCACTGTCCTAGGGGGCAGGTAGAGTAAAAAATGTGAGCAGGGGGGCTGCCCATTGCCTGTCCCTGTGCTACACGCCCAGCTCTGGAGGATGATCTTTGCTACAGCCAGAGAATGTGCTGGATCTTAATCCACCTATGTGGTTTTATCAAGCCCTCAGCAAATGCTGGAAGCTGACGCAGGGTGGGGAAAAAAGCCCACAGCCACCTGATGAGGTGCTTTTGTGCGAGATAACAAGAGGCTCCAACTGCTATGATGAGTGCCTCACCCCGAACGGATGAGTAAGCGGATCCTCTCAAAATGTTTTCCGAGGGTGCGGGCATTTGCACGACCCAAGCGACGTGTGTGCGTGCCTGTCTCCGGCCTCTCTTTCTCCATCCAGGATTCCCCCCCCCCCCACAACACTGCCTTTTGTCTGCTTTGAAGGCCCTCTCCTTTATTCATGTGACTGTCTCTGGGCAATCATCTCCCAAACAGCCTTTCAGCCCCTCTTCAAAGCCTGACTTCTTCAGGTAAGCCTTTAAGTCACTTTCCGCAGTTGCTAGACTTAATTAACGGCAACCTTCTCCCATCTGGTGCACGTGAGATGCTTTGGACTGTAAAGCCCAGGATTCCTGAGCATGGAGTGCACTGGCTAGAACTGAGGAGAGCTGCTCTCATCCCTAGCAAACCCTGCCCCTGCCTTTGTCTGCTTTGAAGGACCTCTCCTTTATTCATGTGACTGTCTCTGGGCAATCATCTCCCAAACAGCCTTTCAGCCCCTCTTCAAAGCCTGACTTCTTCAGGTAAGCCTTTAAGTCACTTTCCGCAGTTGCTAGACTTAATTAACGGCAACCTTCTCCCATCTGGTGCACGTGAGATGCTTTGGACTGTAAAGCCCAGGATTCCTGAGCATGGAGTGCACTGGCTAGAACTGAGGAGAGCTGCTCTCATCCCTAGCAAACCCTGCCCCTAATCCTGCACCCTGGACACCGAGAGGGCGTCAGTTTGGGGAAGGAAGCCTGACGGTACCTAAGCTGACACATGCACATGTGGCTGAAGTAATGGCCGTGTGTGTATTCTTTCTTGGCTTACCCCCACGTCTCTATTTCCCTTGTTCCCTGCTGCTCCCCTGTGAGGCTGTACACTCCTTGGGGCAGGGGGCTCTCCTGTGCTTTGTAATGCACCCTGTCCAGATGGTGATATTTCCATTAATTTGAGAGGTAGCTGAAAAACACCAGATGCTCTTCCCGCCCGCCTGGCTGGGCTTCTCTTATCCCCCACTGTCTCTCCTCACTTGCCTTGTGGGAATAAGAAGGAAAGGCCGGGAGGTGAAGCAAACAGCACGCACTTCCTCCTGGTCCAGAGGTGTGGGAGAAGTTTCCTTTCCTTTTTGCTTAAAAGAACATCTACAATGTTTACCGCGCAGCTCACACGTCACTAACACCGTGAGCTGCTTTACACAGTTGTACTGATAAGCGGATAACAAACCTATAGCATTAGTCAACTTAAGGTTCTTACAAGAAAGGCGGTGGTAAAAGTACAATAGGAACCATGAGACAATTGCAAATTTAATCCAGAAGTTCCATTGTATTTCCATGGCCTCGGCTGGATTTGGGTCTCGGAATATTCTACTCAGCCAAGAGCACAGAAAAAGAAAACTTTGGAGAAAGCTGGACTCAGATGGACAGAGTTCCTACTCCAGTCCTCTGAAGATGCCCATGGCCACAGAGACTGGCGAAACGTCAGGAAGAACAACCTTCGGAACACGGCCAAAGAGCCCAAAAAACCCACAACCACCAAAAGCTGGACTCAGCTCACCATAATATATATTTTGAACATCTCACCTTTTTTTTTTCACTTTTGCCTGAATGGGATGGCTTTAGGGTTGGCTCCTGTTTTTGGCAGGAATTTTTTTTAAAGGGAGTCAGGGTGGTTGGTGTTTCTGGAACCTTCCAATAATGAGACAAAGGTTTTTTTAACCAGCACCCCCTGTAGGCACATTAAGCTGAATTCCTGTGTGTCTTGGGTAGCAAAAGGCCTCAAAAGCTAATCTGCGTGGGTCAGAAGAAAGGCAATGAAGTGCAGCTCTCTGGATCTGTTTCTAGATGGAACACTGCAAAGGTCTCTTTTTTGGTCACTGGCTGGCTTGGGGAAAAGCCCCCTTCTCTGGGGAAATTCATTAGGAAGTTTTACATCTGAGAAGCTTTGATCTTTAGAGAAAGATAACTGGGCAGGGATTTCTTCGGAGATTCTCTGGACCAAAAAAGCGGGACAATAACTAAAACCGGGACATTTCCTTGGGCTGCTTTCTTGAACGTATCCATCAGTTCTCTGTTTGCAGAAATAAAGCTAATATTTGGCAAGAGGCTGAAATCTGGAAACACTGTTTACTGGTGTGAGGGCGATAAGTGTGGTAGAAAGGCCATTTCTCGGATGTACTTCTGCGTGAATTCCGGGGGCGGTGGGTTGGGGAAAAGACCCGCCGGGTGGCCCGAGGGACCGAGGATCCGGCTTGCGCTCCCCAAGACCTGCGTTCGCCCCTGGCGTCTGTCCAGGCGGCGCGGCATCCTCCGCCTGCGCGCCCCGCGGGTGAGCGCGCGCGTGTCTCCGCGTGGGTGGGTGGGGGCGGGGGGTGCCTGTGCGTGAGTCCTCGCCGCCTCCGCTGCCCACCTTCCCTGACGCTCTGCTGCCGCGCCGCCGCCGCCGCCGCTGCTGCCGGGCTATATAAAGCCGTGTGGCTGCCGCTTGGCTTGGCTTGGCTTTACAATGTAGAGAATTGCAAAGCCTTTTCAAGCAGAGTCAAGGGGCACCTGAAACAGGCAACAGCTGATCTCCCATTGCTTTCAAAGCCCTGCTAACCTGTGTTCGCCAGAGCAAGGAGTGCCACAGGCTTTTCAACCTGACAAATCTATATGGGGGTGGAATTTGCCATTGTTTTTAATGGGAATATATTGCCACAATGGTTCAAGGCAAGTGTAACATAAGAGATAAGTCCTGAGCCCCTGGAAGGATCAGTGGGGCTTTAGAACCAGTGGATCCAAAGCTATCAGGGCTCTGCTCTCCAAATGGTCTATTTTAGGTTTTTAAATTTCTGCAGATGAACCTGGGCTAATAGGGTGCTTCTCCCTTTGGGTTGAGAGGCCCTCCAGCTGGAGGTTAGCATTCCTCTGCCCACTTTAAAATAGGCTCCTGGTTCAACGCCTCCTCCGAGGGCGGCGGCGGCGGCGGCGAGGACGACGACGACAACCCGTTCGTGCAGCCGGGCTGGCAGGTGGCCCTGTGGGCCGTGGCGTACGCCGCCATCGTGCTGGTCTCGGTGGTGGGCAACGCGGTGGTGATCTGGATCGTCCTGGCCCACCGGCGGATGCGCACCGTCACCAACTATTTCCTGGTCAACCTGGCCTGCTCCGAGGCCGCCATGGCCGCCTTCAACACCCTCATCAACTTCACCTACGCCGTGCACAACGTCTGGTACTACGGCCTCTTCTACTGCCGCTTCCAGAACTTCTTCCCCGTCGCCTCCGTCTTCGCCAGCATCTACTCCATGACCGCCATCGCCGTGGACAGGTGAGCCTCCCTCGCCGCCGCCGCCG